TGAGCATGCCTTAGCCAGCTGAAGGGCATAACGCTCATAACCCTCCCTTAGAAGAGTATGGCTAAGCCTCTGGTAAGGCCGCTGTATGAACTACAATAGTAAATACAACATAAATTACATAAGAACTATATTTCCATATAGGCTCCAAAATTCGGTTGCATTTAGTTAAGAACTGTATTTAAATAAGTCTTTTAAATGACTTACATTTTCATCAGTCACGTTCCCCAAAATTTGCATGTAGACTCCAAACTTGGGAACTGTGTTCGCCTTCAAGCGTTTGTGGAGAAGGTGGGACCACGACACCATTAATGGACACTCCATCGGGAGATCCACTGTCTCCCCTATCAGCTCTATACGTAGTGGCTTTATATGCTCTATTACAAATACCTGGACGAGTAATAAACAAAGATCAGAAAAGTAGATAAGTTAAAACATCAAATCCAAATTTAGTTAAAGTGAGAATGGTGATGTTTAAAGTACTTACCATGAGAGCATAGGCCAAGCCGTTTACGATTCCTCGATCCAAAGAGTTGTACAAGCTCGCCCATGCGGCTGCGCCCCATGCATAGCTACCAACCTCCTGAAGATTGTCCAAGAGCCCCAAATACTGGGCAGAAACTAATCCAGTGCAGTCATCGGGTATTAAATATGACCCAATGACATACATGACGTAGGCTCTAAGATAGTGTGCCCACCCATCCTCATCTGGACGTACTGGGTTATTACTATATTTTTCTCTTAACCAACTAAGCCTAATCCTCCCTCCATCCAAAGACTCTGGAGGAGGATCAATACCAAAAGCATTAAAAAATAAATTTTCGGTTTTCCCTATCCTACCAATAACCGGTCTACCGTCAATCGGCATACCGGTGATGAGAAGGACATCTACTAAACTAAAATAGAGTGAATTACCATTAAAGATAAAACACTTTAAATTACGATCATAGTGTCGTAGCAAAGCGTTTACCATGGTACAATCCAACCTCATTTGGAACTTAAAACGTTCAAAGAATCCTAAACCTATCCTAGTTAATACCTCCCTAAGTTCCTCAGTTATTGGCCAACGCACCAAATTGTTCAACGGTTCATGTGGCATCTAAAAAAAAAAAAAATATTAAAACACATATTAGTGTCTAGTTATACTACTGCTCGCCAGCCTTGCAATATCTGAAATAAAATGGGCAATGAGTTACTTACATGTGGGGCTGGAGCCGGAACTGGAGCTGGAGCTAGAGCTGGAGCTTCCATATCTAGAGCTTCAATATCTAGAGCTTCCATATCTTCAAAAGAACGAAAGAAAACCCCAAATTTCATATGATGAGTAAATAACAGAAGTGTTAAATATGTTATGTACCATTTCAGAAATGTTACAAAAACAAAGTACAATCACATGTACCATGCCAAAGTGGAAACTGATAAGCAGAGTATAAACCACCTCAATGACATTACATTGCGTTATATTCCATAAGCTCAGATTAATTTAATCTCAGGCCCCAAAAGCCTTAATAGACCAAGAAAGATAGAATAATTATATGTGTAGGATCTCTATGTTTAATTTGTCTACTCTATGTGAAGGATCCCTATTAGGGATCTTGAATTTGGGTTTAAGCTCATGGATAAAGTCCATAAAACCTGCCCCCTCAGCTGCCTTAATAAACCCAAAACCAATCAGCAAGCTAAACATATTTCATTCAACAAATCCTAACCAATCATCAGACTAAACATTTTTCATTAAAACAGCAACCATTTAAACATATATCATTCAAGAAAACAAGAAATCCTAACCAACCAACCATATAATAAAGTCAAAAACACATGCATTTAAACTCAATCCTAGCAGAAAACCATGTAAACAATTCCAACACACAAAAGAACAGCTAAACCCTAGCAGTCTCAATCAAACCTAACAGAAAATCAACATATACATTTCATTACATCATTAAAGTTAAATTATACCTAAATAGCAGCACCAACAGCACCAGCACAGCAAAACCCTAGCTCAACTTGCCCAATTTCTGTACAAAAACAGAAAAACCCCCCATCAATATGAAATTCAGAAAACAAAAACCTTATTTAACCCCTACTTCAACCCTCAAATTAATGTAGCCGACCCTCAATTTAGGAGAAACCCACTCAAATACAAACCCGCAAATTAGCAGAAAAACCAATAAAAAACACACTAATCGAAACTCAAATCAAAACCCTCAAATTAGTATAATCGAAACCCTAATCTAACCGAAAATCCAAATTCAAACGCTATTCAACACTTACCCAGCGACGAGAAGAAGAGACAGCGACGGTGGAGGTGAGAGGTTTCAGAGAGATTAGGGATTTGATTTCAGAGTGACGAGAGGTTTTCAGTCTCCGGACATGCCTGCTAAGTAGAATACCCTCAAAGCGACATTTAACATTTGTCTTTTTTATTTTTATTTTTATTTTAAATGTTAGGGTGTCATTTAACATTTATCTATTCTGTGCTATCTTTTCTGAGAAAAAAAAAATCATTTTCAGAATAAAGCGGTTAGTATAATTTCTCTAAGTTTCAGGGAATGACATGGGATTCAGGGTTCAATTTTCTTGAATGTGTTTTTTCACTTTCCACAAATAAATTACTGTGGTAGTTATTATTTCCGTTACTTGCCCTTTGGGGGAGGACCGCGGAAATGTGTAGGTGACATGTTTGCTACATACGAGGTAGAATAATTGAACTTGTTGGATGGTCAACTTTTTTTATTTTAATATTTATAAACTTTACGAATACTAGCCCCATGTGCCAATTGATTTTCTTTTTTATTTTATTTTAAGAATGAAAAGATAACATGGGTAATTATATTCTATAAAAGTATGACTTATTATCTAATTTTATTTTAAATTTTAAATTTTTTAATATAAAAATATGAATTTACCATATTATCATCATTTAATTAATAATTTCAATTCTTAAAGCTTGAATTAACCAAGGGTATTTTCTGGTATTTTGAAAGTTTCACCATTCTCTACCTTTTGCTTTATATATACTAGCATCTCTGCATAGGCTTCCGCGCATGTGAGAGGCTTTATTTTAAAAAAAATTAAATTTATTTCAGAATTAAAAAAGATAATGGGTAGTTGTCTTCCATAAAAATAAGATTCATTATCTGATTTTTCTTTTATTTTTATTTTTAATATGAAAAAGTATGAATTTACCATATTATCTTCATTTAATTAATAATTTCAATTCTTAATATTTGCATTAACCAAGAGCATTTTCTGGTATTTTGAATGTTTCACCATTCTCTACTTTTTGCGCTATATATATAGATATAGATAAATCACTGAAATTTTTGCATGCCTCTCACGATGATCATATACAAGCCTTCAAAGCTTCTCCTTTTCTCAAATAAATAAAGCATTTTGAAATACTCTCATTGCTGATTTACAGACTCTGGTAGCACTTGCAATGCTTGTTCGAAGATTTAACTGAAATTGTGTATTATATCTACCCTAATTGGAACTCTTTCGAATTGTGTATTTGTTGGGGGCATTGTTGTGAACCACAATAAGTTTTATAAGCTGAGTGAACTTGTAAAAACCTCTAGTGTTATATTGGACTTAAAGTATGTGATTCTATTTCTGTCTAAAGAATGGTTCTCCAAGCAGGTCAAGATGACTACGGGAGCAACAATTCACACCACAGAAGGGTTGAAGATGACAGTTACCAGGAGAATAAAACCTCCCATAGTGCCCACATTGGAGATGCCGACATTTGAAGTGGATACATCTGTAGGTGTTTCAAAAGGGGATTCTTTAGTTGTCTACAAACCTGACGTCATCAGGCAGAAGATTAGTAGAAAACACGTCGAGATTCAAGTATAACAAATCATCTGCAATGAGCAGAAGAAACCTCACCTTTTTTACCAACTAAAGAATCCCCTTTTGAAACACCAACAGATGTATCCACTTCAAATGTCGGCATCTCCAATGTGGGCACTATGGGAGGTTTTATTCTCCTGGTAACTGTCATCTTCAACCCTTCTGTGGGGCGAATTGTTGCTCCCGTAGTCATCTTGATCTGCTTGGAGAACCATTCTTTAGACAGAAATAGAATCACATACTTTAAGTTCAATATAACACTACAGGTTTTTACAAGTTCACTCAGCTTATAAAACTTATTGTGGTTCACAACAATGCCACCAACAAATACACAATTAGAAAGAGTTCCAATTGGGCTAGATATAATACATGCAGGAAACAGCACGGGGCTACTTACCTCAGGAGCACCAAGTGCCATTTGAAAGTTAAATCTTCGAACAAGCACTGCAAGTGCTACCACAGTCTGTAAATCAGCAATGAGAGTGTTTCAAAATGCTTTATTTATTTGAGAAAAGGAGAAGCTTTGAAGGCTTGTTTATGATCATCATGAGAGGCATGCAAAAATTTCAGTGATTTATATTCATAAAGTTATATAAATATTAAAATAAAAAAAGTTGACCATCCAACAAGTTCAAATATTCTACCTCGTATGTGACAAACATGTCACCTACACATTTCAGCGGTCCTATACCAAAGGGCAAGTAACTGAAATAATAACTACCACAGTAATTTATTTGTGGAAAGAAAAAAAACCATTCCAGAGAAAATTGAACCCTGAATCCCATGTCATTCCCCGAAACTGATTGAAATTATACTATCTACTAAGAAGCTGCTGTATTCTGAAAATGATTTTTTTTTTTTCTCAGAATAGATTAAATAATACAGTGTCATGTGCAACTTCAATAACTTTTACATTTGCAGTAATTTAGCCCTTTTTTGTGCTAAAACTGGTCATATGCAATGTTGATCCAAGAAGTATAGGATAGGTTTGTTTCATTAAGATTTGAACATGTTTATGAAGTACCACATCTAGAACCATCTAATATGGAATGTGGCAAAATAAATACAGAAAAGGCATACTTCTTTCAATTGTCATCCTCCAAACTCCAAAAAATATTAATAATATTTTCTTTTCATATTTGTGTGTGCAATGATACCACACATTAATTGAACTTCTGCAGCCCCATTTTATCCACACACCAAAATTGTACAATGCTCATCCACCAAGGATGTTGACATTCAGAACTTAAATAACCAAACAGATCAGTTGTAACTTCAATATCTTGTGATATGTATCTAATACAGAGAATAAGCAGAGAGATGAAATACCGAAAATTTTGGTTCGTCTCATTTGGATTGGGTCCATCTAACGGCAATCTTTCAGGCTTAAACTTATCTGCATCATCCCATTGTTTTGGACTGCGATGCAGATTCCAAATACAAATAAATATATCCTCATTCCTGTAAATGAAAAGATAAAAATGGCATTAGATGTTGCATATTAACAACATATATCAATAGAATTCACAGTAGATTTTCTAGGTATAACCTTGTAATAGAGTAGTCTCCAAGCCTGTCATCCTCAAGAGAACGACGAATTAACACAGGTGGTTGTGGGTAAAGCCTCAAGGACTGCAAAGGAAGAAGGAAAGTTAAACCAAACGATAAAAAATGACCATTTATACAGAAAATTAACTCTCTAAATCCTTCAGATAAAAGCTGATATGCTTACCTCATTAATAACACGAGTTGCATACTTGAGTTTCTTCACATCTTCAATTGTTGGACATCTATCTCCTAGAACGGAATCAGCCTAAGAACATGAAGTACCATAATTAAAGCAAAACAATATGATATAGGCTAAAGTATTCACGACTCCTGTGATTCTTTTGGTAGAAATATGTGTGCATTAAAATTAAAGCTCTAACATACCTCCTCTTGGAGCTTCGACATGACGCTAGGCTCCTGCAGCCAATCAAAAGGTAAAGTCGTGATGAAATTTGTAGTCCTCATTTATTTAATAACTTTCTAATCTATTTTTAGAAAATGAATTAAATATATTTGATTCAAAATAGTTATACGCTGTAAATTCATCACACCCTTATAAACTTTGCAAGCATCTCAGATTTACAAGTTGGTATAGTTCTGCATTTCAAGTAAAGATACATTTTATTTCCCAAAATTCACGGTTACAGGGCGAGGTGTAAGCCTCAAGTGAAGATCCATATTACTATGCACTAAGGAACATAAAAGTGAGAAATTAGTTCCTTTACTAGGCCTCAAATGTGTTACCGTGGAAAGAAGATAAAAGGTCCATGTTAAAACTGCAGCTGATGTTTCATGCCCAGCTATAAGCATCGTCATCAAGTCATCACGGAGTTGCTTGCTAGAAACCTACAAATAGTTGTGTAAAAAGTTTAATCATTTGAGCTGGTGACAAGTGTGTATGATAGTTGCAGTTACATACATCATCCCCAGACGCCAAAAGGAAATGGAGAACACTAGGATCTTGTTCATTCATATACTCCTCATGAAATTGTAGCTCTTCTTCGTCTACCATCCTCTGCAGATGACAAACAAAAATAATAACAAAAACAAAACTGCATCAGCTTAGCAGCCATGCCCAGCCATGTATCATTTTGAAAGAAAAAGGAAAAAAATTGTGATTGGAAATATAGTAGCAAATATTACCAAGTAAATAAAAAGAAAAAAAAGAGGACCACAGATCTATGTTGTGCCAAGAATTGATGACTTTACCTTGCAAATTGCTATCAAATCATCCAGCGTAGTATTGATTAGTTTGAGGGCTGTTGCGACCTTTCTTTGTCGTGGTGAAATGTCTTTCCATATTGGGATCTCCCATACTGGTATTGGTGCAACACTACGATCTTCTGCTTCTCTCAGGACAGTGTACACAGCCTGCTCTAGCCAAAATAGAAAGACAGCAATAAGTTAAAGTACTGCTATAAAATCAACTACAAAAGAGAATTGATGAAGATAAGTGGAAGCTAAACAGGAAAGAACATCATATAACCAAAGCTAAGATAAAAGGAACGAAAAATAATACCTCAATTATCCCAGTGTCATTTGTTAATGAATCAAAATCATAATTAAAAAGTGCCTTGCCAATGATGTCCAGTGTCAAACGGGAGAAAAGTGACTCCATCTCTACATCTTCCCCATCAGATGCAGCAGCATCTAGCTTTTGGCAAAGCCTCTCTGTAGCTTCTCCAAAGAGATTAATCATAGCTGCTACATACTACAATTTTAAATAAAAAACTAGAATCAACAATAAAAAAATAGTTACAAATAGTTCCTATGGTCTGCACCAAGGTTTACCTTACAGTGAGGTAGCTCCAAAATTGCATGAGAAATTGGACAAGGTTCTTATTAGGCGTACAGTTCATAAAATTTCTATGTGCAGTTTTCTAAGAAGAAGGTTTTTCTTCATAATAGACAAAATCAATGTGCTCTTTAAATTTTTTAAAATTGGTTAACATAATATTGTAATCTTTCTGAACTGCAAGGAGCAATTCGAAGGAACAGCTGTTCTACAGCAAAATCAAATGACTATTCCTCAAAATTGCTCCTTCTGGTGCAGGGAACTGTGGGAAAGGGCACACAACACCTTCTGATGCAAGTAATAGTTGAATTACATCAGAACATCTGTTCCTCCTAATTCTGATTTTGGTTTTCACATCACAGGTCTTGGTTCACACTTTGATATCCCACTTTTCCCTTAAACAGGCTTTTCTTCCACTGGAAACATTGAATGTAGGGAGCAGGATAAGAACAAAATACCTTCTGATGCAACGCGGGGACTATAGCACGTCGTCGAACACGCCATATTTCACCGTCTGCTGGGATGAGTCCTTTCCCCATGACAAACTCTAGAATTTCAGCCAAGATTCCCTGTGCACAAAGTAGCTATCGACTATAAGACAGACAGAGAGAGGACAGGAAAAGAAATTAACCAATTGGGTTTACCTTTGAATAAGCCTTTGAATTATCCCTTAATATATGTTTGGCAATGGAAGGATCAGAAACGATCAAAAAGGACTGCAGAAAGAATCAACAAGTAATTCACTGAGAACAGCGGCACTGCCGTCATAACAATCTAATAAGTTTGAGAGAGACTACTATTAATCAAATGAGATATATATTAGAAATAAAAACCTTTGGTCCAAAGGTCAGCCTGTAAATTCCACCATAAGTGAGGTAAAGCTCATATAGTGGGATGAAAAAGGCCTCACTTTGAATGGCTCTAATTGCTCCTTTTGCCTCTGGAATTTTGGGAGAGCCATCATGTGCATCAGCCCAACTAAATAAAAAATCTACAATCTCCCGAGGAACACCCAACTTCGACAAACCGTTCTTCAATTGAGATGGATAACTAATTACCACATCCAAAAGACTTGGAGTTATAAATCAACACACAAAAATTTGGATGTATAATAACACAAAAGTAAAGCTTTCCAACTAGCTTCTTCTAGTATTAAGTATGTTCAAAATTCGGTGACAATTTTAGTCAGAAAATGTAATCAAATGTAGCTGAAATTGCCCAACATAAGCAAAACATAGTTCAATCTCTAATAAGTATACCCAGTTTTCTCGACAGTGAATTCTCCTGAGACAATCCGAGCAGACAGCTCAGCTCGCCTTTTCTCTTCAAGCAACCGCTCCACGCTCTTCACACCATCCACAGAATCAGGCTCTCTTCCATTAGAAGAAGAGCATGTAACCATAGATAAACCAAAAGTTCCTGCAAAACCCACCAAAAGGGTGAATAATGGTAAGCAAAAAGGAGCTCAAAGATGGAAACTTTTGTAGAATGGACGACCTCTCTGCTGGCTGAGTAACGAATTTTTAGGGACTTTTGATGTTAAACAATTTGCACTATTTCAAGACTTGATTATGTCTTCTTCTCTAACTTTGATTTGAATGGAGCAAATAGGCTTGCTAATAAGTTTCTAGCAAACAACCATTATTCAATACATAGCATGAAAACAAGTACTTGTTCTTCCCAATTAAAACCATCAACCAAAGCCACAAATCTCGAAAGAGTGACCGCCTTCGTGTTGGTCCCCAGCGAACACCGAACAGGTTGTGAAGGTCTGTTCATGACAGATGACAAATCGACTCTTTCTTTGTTTTTCTTGTTCAATATCTAATTTGACTGAGGCATGTCTAATACATGCAGACTATACCTCTGAATTGCATAGTTAAGGTTACTTGATTGTACATTTGATTGAAATGGTAAATTGTCCCGCCTGCTAATGTTTTTTTTTTATGTGTATTGTATTAGCCTCTTGACGAACCAGAGAAAATGATCAATATTATTCTTTACACTCCGGATACGTTCAGGCACATTGTATTCTTATGTTTCTTTACATCTGAAATAAGGATGGCAACGGGCCGGTTAGGGGCCGGATATGACAATACCATCCCCGTCCCAGCTCCCCATTCATTCCCGCCCTAATTCCCGGTTTTTAATAAGATATTTATTGTTAAAATAATTTTCTAAAGCACAATCATATCATTGTGAAATTTTAAAAACAACCACTACAATATATTTCTTGTTAAAATAATAACTCAACAAGGCAAATAAGGTGGACACAAAACTTGAAATAATTTCTATCCAAATCTTTAAAAACTTTTTCAGTAAGCACAATAAATCCATCTAATCTTTAGAGTAACTTTGTTAATTATATTATATTAATATATATTGATTATAAATAAATATATTACTTATCGGGCCAGATTTGGGGATGGGGATAACAATCTCATCCCCGGCCCATCCTCGGTCGGCGATTTTGCAAATTCGGGGATCCCCGTACTCGGCCCCGATTTCCCCCCGAAAACTTCCCCCGTTAAGGCCGGGGACCGGACGGGGACCAAACCCGATGGGTATTATTGTCATCCCTAATCTGAAAGCCTTCATATAGTTCTTTTCTCAGGAGGTGTTTTGGCCACTCCTCCACATGATTCTTCACTAGTCCACAACGATGTTTTCTTCCTATCATGTGCAAGACATCAGAAATGTGAAATTCTGATATCCTCTTACTAGGTTACTTAACATTACATCGTTTTTGTTTTGCTCGTCAAACAAATCTTCTACAGATGCCTTTGTTTTCATTATTAGATAATGTCTATTAGGGCCACTTCCGCCAGGACAGTAAAAACTATTATTGTAAGTGTTTTTAATACACTGAGAAAGATGTGATGCTTTGGTAGGGAGCTTGGAAATTTTCAAAGCTGAACGATTCTTCAAGAGACTTAAGAACTATATTGATGGCTTAAAAATAAAGCCATTGGCCGCTGCACCATACAAACACAGTTTCTCTCTTAGTCTTGCAACCCTATGCACTTGCCCCTCAATTTACAGCATTATCTACAAACCTGACATCATCAGGCAGAAGATTAGTAGAAAACACGTCGAGATTCAAGAATAACAAATCATCTGCAATGAGCAGAAGAAACCGCACCTTTTTTACCAACTAAAGAATCCCCTTTTGAAACACCTACAGATGTATCCACTTCAAATGTCGGCATCTCCAATGTGGGCACTATGGGAGGTTTTATTCTCCTGGTAACTGTCATCTTCAACCCTTCTGTGGTGTGAATTGTTGCTCCCGTAGTCATCTTGACCTGCTTGGAGAACCATTCTTTAGACAGAAATAGAATCACATATTTTAAGTTCAATATAACACTACAGGTTTTTACAAGTTCACTCAGCTTATAAAACTTATTGTGGTTCACAACAATGCCACCAACAAATACACAATTCGAAAGAGTTCCAATTGGGCTAGATATAATACATGCAGGAAACAGCACGGGGCTACTTACCTCAGGAGCACCAAGTGCAATTTGAAAGTTAAATCTTTGAACAAGCATTGCAAGTGCTACCACAGTCTGTAAATCAGCAATGAGAGTGTTTCAAAATGCTTTATTTATTTGAGAAAAGGAGAAGCTTTGAAGGCTTGTTTATGATCATCATGAGAGGCATGCAAAAATTTCAGTGATTTATATTCATAAAGTTATATAAATATTAAAATAAAAAAAGTTGACCATCCAACAAGTTCAAATATTCTACCTCGTATGTAGCAAACATGTCACCTACGCATTTCCGCGGTCCTCCACCAAAGGGCAAGTAACTGAAATAATAACTACCACAGTAATTTATTTGTGGAAAGAAAAAAAAACATTCAAGAGAAAATTGAACCCTGAATCCCATGTCATTGCCCGAAACTGATTGAAATTATACTATCTACTAAGAAGCTGCTGTATTCTGAAAATGATTTTTTTTTTTTTCTCAGAAAAGATAGCACAGAATAGATTAAATAATACAGTGTCATGTGCAACTTCAATAACTTTTACATTTGCAGTTATTTAGCCCTTTTTCGTGCTAAAACTGGTCATATGCAATGTTGATCCAAGAAGTATAGGATAGGTTTGTTTCATTAAGATTTGAACATGTTTATGAAGTACCAGATACATCTAGAACCATCTAATATGGAATGTGGCAAAATAAATACAGAAAAGGCATACTTCTTTCAATTGTCATCCTCCAAACTCCAAAAAATATTAATAATATTTTCATTTCATATTTGTGTGTGCAATGATACCACACATTAATTGAACTTCTGCAGCCCCATTTTACCCACACACAAAAATTGTACAATGCTCATCCACCAAGGATGTTGACATTCAGAACTTCAATAACCAAACAGATCAGTTGTAACTCCAATATCTTGTGATATGTATCTAATACAGAGAATAAGCAGAGAGATGAAATACCGAAAATTTTGGTTCGTCTCATTTGGATTGGGTCCATCTAATGGCCATCTTTCAGGCTTAAACTTATCTGCATCATCCCATTGTTTTGGACTGCGATGCAGATTCCAAATACAAATAAATATATCCTCATTCCTGTAAATGAAAAGATAAAAATGGCATTAGATGTTGCATATTAACAACATATATCAATAGAATTCACAGTAGATTTTCTAGGTATAACCTTGTAATAGAGTAGTCTCCAAGCCTGTCATCCTCAAGAGAACGACGAATTAACACAGGTGGTTGTGGGTAAAGCCTCAAGGACTGCAAAGGAAGAAGGAAAGTTAAACCAAACGATAAAAAATGACCATTTATACAGAAAATTAACTTTCTAAATCCTTCAGATAAAAGCTGATATGCTTACCTCATTAATAACACGAGTTGCATACTTGAGTTTCTTCACATCTTCAATTGTTGGACATCTATCTCCTAGAACGGAATCAGCCTAAGAACATGAAGTACCATAATTAAAGCAAAACAATATGATATAGGCTAAAGTATTCACGACTCCTGTGATTCTTTTGGTAGAAATATGTGTGCATTAAAATTAAAGCTCTAACATACCTCCTCTTGGAGCTTCGACATGACGCTAGGCTCCTGCAGCCAATCAAAAGGTAAAGTCGTGATGAAATTTGTAGTCCTCATTTATTTAATAACTTTCTAATCTATTTTTAGAAAATGAATTAAATATATTTGATTCAAAATAGTTATATGCTGTATAGTCATCACACCCTTATAAACTTTGCAAGCATCTCAGATTTACAAGTTGGTATAGTTCTGCATTTCAAGTAAAGATCCATTTTATTTCCCAAAATTCACGGTTACAGGGCGAGGTGTAAGCCTCAAGTGAAGATCCATATTACTATGCACTAAGGAACATAAAAGTGAGAAATTAGTTCCTTTACTAGGCCTCAAATGTGTTACCGTGGAAAGAAGATAAAAGGTCCATGTTAAAACTGCAGCTGATGTTTCATGCCCAGCTATAAGCATCGTCATCAAGTCATCACGGAGTTGCTTGCTAGAAACCTACAAATAGTTGTGTAAAAAGTTTAATCATTTGAGCTGGTGACAAGCGTGTATGATAGTTGCAGTTACATACATCATCCCCAGACGCCAAAAGGAAATGGAGAATACTAGGATCTTGTTCATTCATATACTCCTCATGAAACTGTAGCTCTTCTTCGTCTACCATCCTCTGCAGATGACAAACAAAAATAATAACAAAAACAAAACTGCATCAGCTTAGCAGCCATGCCCAGCCATGTATCATTTTGAAAGAAAAAGGAAAAAAAAAATGTGATTGGAAATATAGTAGCAAATATTACCAAGAAAAGAAAAAGAAAAAAAAGAGGACCACAGCTCTATGTTGTGCCAAGAATTGATGACTTTACCTTGCAAATTGCTATCAAATCATCCAGCGTAGTATTGATTAGTTTGAGGGCTGTTGCGACCTTTCTTTGTCGTGGTGAAATGTCTTTCCATATTGGGATCTCCCATACTGGTATTGGTGCAACACTACGATCTTCTGCTTCTCTCAGGACAGTGTACACAGCCTGCTCTAGCCAAAATAGAAAGACAGCAATATGTTAAGTACTGCTATAAAATCAACTACAAAAGAGAATTGATGAAGATAAGTGGAAGCTAAACAGGAAAGAACATCGAATAACCAAAGCTAAGATAAAAGGAACGAAAAATAATACCTCAACTATCCCAGTGTCATTTGTTAATGAATCAAAATCATAATTAAAAAGTGCCTTGCCAATAATGTCCAGTGTCAAACGGGAGAAAAGCGACTCCATCTCTACATCTTCCCCATCAGATGCAGCAGCATCTAGCTTTTGGCAAAGCCTCTCTGTAGCTTCTCCAAAGAGATTAATCATAGCTGCTACATACTACAATTTTAAATAAAAAACTAGAATCAACAATAAAAAAAAATAGTTACAAATAGTTCCTATGGTCTGCACCAAGGTTTATCTTACAATGAGGTAGCTCCAAAATTGCATGAGAGATTG